GAGAACAGGAACTGCCTAAAATCCAGACAAACCCTTCAGCACAGCCCTGGCAGATTTCTGGGCCTCACTCAAGGCCACCCCAGGCTGCACTGAAGGACACACCACTTTTCTCCCCGTCCCTGTCCCTCACCCTGCCTGCAGGGAAAGGCCCTTCTCCCCCTGCCTCCCTCCTGCCCCACCATGCTCAGGGAGCCACAGCACTGCCAGACCCTGGGCAGCAATTACAGCTCACCAGGGAGAGCAGCCAGGCCTGAGGGGACTCTGAGGGCTCCACCTCGTGCCCCTCACCCAGAGCATCACGAGTTCCACTCAGATCATTCCCAAGGGACCGTTATCCCATTTGCTCCTAAGCAGCTGGAGACTCCTCAGCCACCCTGAGCAATGGCTGCAGGTCCCAGGCCTTACACAGGGTTTGGGGACGTTTCACCTGGGCTCTCCCTGCCATTTAAACCCCCTCAGTGCTGTTCCCAGCGGGCACACAGAGCCAGGAGCAGCACCTGGAACCTGGAATCACTGAGGTTGGAAAAGCCCTCCAGGATCATCGAGTCCAACCACCCCCAGCACTGCCAAGGCCACCACTGCCCATGTCCCCAAGTGCCACATCCACAGGGCTTTGAAATCCCTCCAGGGATGGGCACTCCACCCCTGCCCTGGGCAGCTCTGCCAGGGCTGGATGACCATTTCCAAGAAGGAATTGTCCCAAAATCCAACCTGACCCTCCCCTGGCACAGCCTGAGGCCGTTCCCTCTCCTCCTGTCCCTTGTTCCCTGGGATCAGAGCCCAACCACCCCCAGCTCCCCCCTCCTGTCAGGGGGTTGCAGAGCCAGAAGGTCCCCCCTGAGCCTCCTTTGCTCCAGGCTGAGCCCCCCAGCTCCCTCAGCTGCTCCTGCTGCTCCAGCCCCTTCCCAGCTCCCTTCCCTTCCCTGCACAGCTCCAGTCCCTCCATGTCCTGTCCTGAGGGGCCCAGCACTGCCCCCAGGACTGGAGGTGGCTCAGCAGTGCCAGCACAGGGGTGGGCACTGCCCTGGGCCTGTGTCACACCTGGTGACACAAACCAGGATGCTCCTTGTACCAGTAAATTCCTGGAGTGTCCCCTCAATCTCCCCAGGACACACAACCTCCCCCTCACACTCTGCACAGGCTGGGCTGATTCACACTCTCTGCACTTGTCTGGGTCACTCCACCAGTGTCACCCCAGAGCCACACGAGGGGTGTCCCCGTGACACCTCATCACTGCCGGGGCCAGAAACATCACCTCACATCCTGCAGCCTCCTGCCCAACTCTCACACTCAACACTCCCACAGCCCCTCCTCCCCTCCCCACAGGAGCTCACCAGGTTCCTTCCATGAGGGATTACACCTCCTCAGTTACCCTGGTGCCTGCAGCTGGCTGGTTCTGCTGGAACCCCAACCCTCACCCCTGCCCCTGTGACCTGCAGCCCATCTTCGGGCCACACTGAATTCCTCAAACCCCCCTGTCCCTCTTCAGTCACCGGCCACGGTGCAGCCCTTCCCTCTCTGTGCCATTTACAGCTTTGACCTGCACAGTCACTGCCCCTGCAGTGGTGACTGAGACCCCCCAGCCCCTCTCAGCACACCCAGACCCCTCACTGGGGGTGTTACCGCTGCTCTGAGTGGGTTTATTTAACCACATTTTTATCCATCACAGACTGGCACCTTCTGAGGCTCTGGGTTTTTTCAGCCTCACCTACTTGAGCAGTTTTTTTGGCACGGAAATCAAATCTCACTGGATCCGTGACTGCAGCCAGAAACAGCCCTGACACCTTGTCCTAGAAAGAGCCAACTGCCCTTGCCAAGGCAGTGCCCGTGGCCAAGCGGCACCGGCTGCTCCACACGCCCTGCCCCCTGGCAGGAGTTCCCCAACCATCCCCTGCCTGCTGCAGGATCTCAGCAGGACTGCTCTTCCCCATCCCCTGTGTCCCACACCCTCACCCACACCCACTGCTCGCTCCCCTTGGGGACTGCAAAGCCCCACCGAGGTTCTGTGGCTCAGGAGACGCCTCCTGAAGCCTGGAAGGGTTTTTTAGTCCGTACTTTGAGCACACAAGACAGAAATACCTCCCTGCAACGACAGCTCACAAAGCTGCTCTTCCTTTTCGTGGCCTGTCACCACCACCAGTTGCTCACCAAGAGCCCAGAGATGCTGAACACTCTGGTTTTGGGGGTGCCAGCCTAAGTTTTCCCCTGTGTTCTTTCCTCCTCTACCTTCTTGAAGTGTTCCTGCTCACATCCAAGATGCCCAAAACAGGGAGGAAGAGGGAACCGAGGGTGGTTGTCCCAGAGGGCGTTCCCAGAACAATCTCTGTGTCCCTCCATGCCCTCTGAGAGTCGGGTTTGAATTTTATCTTAATCCTCCTTAGGTGGCCTTGCTGCTCCTCAAAGGAGGACTGGAATGACCCGTGGGTCTGAACAACTCCCAGGGCAGGAGGGCTCAGCAGTGTTCAACCAGCACTGGGAAGGTTCTGCCCAGCTCCAGCTCTGCCTTTTTCAGACAAAGTCCACCTGGGAAGCCCTTGGAGCAGCCTGGGACCACCACAACACAGCCCTTGGAGATCCCCCCTCCTGGAGCAGCCACTCAGCACCACAACACGGCCAGGAAGGCCAGAGCCAGAGCTCAGACACAACCCCCAGCACGGATTTCCCTGCACTGTTCCCTCAGAAATAAACCCCAAACCCTCAACCAGGACAGTTTTCATGGTTAAAAACTCTGCACTCCCAGATCTTTGGGGCTTGGGAAGTGGCCTGGGAAGGCAGGAGGGACACAGCACCCGTAAGGTGACACATCTCCATGGGATTGGCTTTGCACAGGCTCTGGGTCACAGCAGGAACACCAGGAAAGGCTGAACACACCAAATTCCAGGGCTCCCAGCCCCGAGAGGGAGCGTTTGGCATCTCCAGCATCACACAACAAATATTATCCTTTCTAATAACCACCATTAGGAAGCCAGGCTCAGGAAATCACTCTGCTCTTTCTTCCCGACACAGAAACGATCCCCAAACCCCTCTGTGAGGCAGCAAGTCCCACAGTCTGACTCGGACATTGTCTCTGGGAAACAAACCCACTATTATCCCTTTCTCACAATGCTCCACACAAGATTAATTCAGATTTTCCCAAGGAACTGCACTGCTGCTCCCCTCCCTACCGTGCTCTCACTCCAGCTAAAATCCCTCTTTTCCCGGAAGAAGTTCATTTTTTCCCAGGGGAGCCCAGTTATGCCAAAAGGCCACAGCTGTTCTGAGCCACCAGGGCTGTGTCTTCACCTGAAGAGAGGAACTGAAAGATTCCCTCCAAGCCAAGCACCTTTCACTCCCTGTTCCTCCCCGGTGTGGGTACCTGGGATGTGAGCAGGAACACTCCCCGAGGCTGCAGCACCACAGAACAGCTCAGTGCTCCTTCAGCCTCTCTCTCTCACCCCTCAATGCACTGTGCAAGGGGGAAGAGGGATTCAGAGGAATTATAACCCCAGGCATTAGAGCCAAGGAATGCCTGGAAAGCTCAGTCTACACCTACTTTCAGTCTCGTTGGTCCCTCGTGCCGAGCACCATCAGTCCCCCCTTGCTCCCAGGGCAGGGAATTGTGCCTCCACCTCCAGCCACAGCTCGCTGGAGAAAGTCTCTTGTAAAAGGGAAGGAAGGTGCTGCAGCCCCCCGGCCTGGAAAGGATTCCTGGGTCACAGGATCCACTGGAATTGCTGTGCTGCTGCTCCTCCCCAGCCCCTCCTCACGCACAACGTTCCACTACAGGCAGGTAAAGCTATTTTTGCTCCTCCAGCTGCACCTGTTCTATTTTCTGAACTCTTTGCTCATCAGAGAGAAAAAAAACCAGGACTTTTTGGTGCACAGTGATCCAAACTCTGACGCCAGACAGGCCCAGCAACCCCCTGCCTGAAAATAGCACCGAGTAACTCAGCGAGAGCCTGACAGGTTCATTCATCACCACGATCCTGACACTCAAAACACTATTTTAGTGCTCCTGACACAATCCCCGATTGTTCTTTGCTCCTTTTGGGCTGTGATATTTGACTCACGACTGGGAAAACAAACAGCCCTGTGCCAAGTTCAGGGTTGTACCTGGAAACGGAGCAGAGCTGGGCTGGGGGACGTTCCCGGAACATCCCGGGGTGTTTTCCTCTCATCCCAATCCCAGCTAATCTCCTTTCTGCATTACACAACAGCCCCGCGTAATCCCAAATTTACCACCCCGTCCTGGTTTCACAGAGGGAGCTCCCGCCTCGTCTCTGCCCCTTTCGTGAAAAGAAACTTGGTCTGTCTTCCCACGATCCTGGAAAACACGTGGATGTCGCACTCAGGAAACTCCGGAATCCTTCCGGAGCCCTTTCCTCGGGGTTCTCCCGAGCACAGCCCACGGTCGCTCCGGCATCCAAACAGCTCCTTGTTCTTTGTATTAAACACAACCTAAAAACGCTCATCGGGACTCGCACGGGGAAGTTGATCCCGAGTCCGGACCGAACCCCCGAGCCCGGGGCGGTCCCGGGGCAGGACCCGGGCTGTGAGCTCAGAGCCCCCCGGGATCCTTCTGCTTCCCGAGCGCTCGGCACAAACCCCGGGCGACAGAACACTCCATGTTCCCAGCATTCCCTTCAGGTATTCCCTGTTAGTCCTTATCCCGACCCCGCAGAGCAGGTGATTTAATTCCTTCCCTCCTCCCCACTCTTGGCTTCGCACCTTTGGTACCCCAGAACTGGAGTATTTTACTCCACGTTCCCATCAATCCCTTTACATGTTCCCTCATTTTAACCCTTTTTCCAACAAGCACCTTCTCCCGACCCTGCAGGAAAGATTTTCCCAAATTCCTTTTCGATTATCGCTAAAAATACGGAGGGGGGAGGGGAGCGCGCCCGGACCCCCGGGAGGGGGAAACTGAGGCACGGAGGGGCCTGAGGGGGGCTGAGGCAGGGCAGGGGGTCGGGAAGGGGGTTTTGGGGGCTGTTTCCGCGCTCCGCCCGCTCCCTCCTCACCTCACCGGGAAGCGGCTCCTCCTCACCTCCGCCCTCTGACCTCCCGCCGGCCGCGGCGCTCGCCCGTGCTTCTTTCCGGTAGCGTTTCCTGCCCGCTGTTCGCCCGGGCCGCAGCCCGGCGGGTCCGCCGCCGTTGTTGGGTTCGGCCCAGCCCGGCTCGCTCGGCTCTGCCCGGCCCTGCCCGCTCCCGGCCCCGCTCCCGGCCCCGCTCCCGGCCCCGCTCCCGGCCCCGCTCCCGCTCCCGCTCCCGCTCCCGCTCCCGGCCCCGCTCCCGGCCCCGCTCCCGGCCCCGCTCCCGGCCCCGCTCCCGGCCCCGCTCCCGGCCCCGCTCCCGGCCCCGCTCCCGGCCCCG